ATAATTCAGTAATTTTATTGATTGCAATTTGAGGGACCTGCCTGCCAACCCAGGCCGAAATTCCAGAGAATTTAATTTGCTAGCACTGTATTTTACTGTAACGTTCTACGATACCCTAAAACCTGTACATGGGGGGTACTGTTTTACTCGGGAGACTTCGCTGAACACAAATATTAGTGATTCACAACAGTAAAACATATCACAGCGATGATATTGTCAGTGAAAGTTACTTTTTTTGCATTTTTCACACACAAACAGCAGTTTTACTGATGATATAATTGTTGTGATACGTTTTCTAGTTTTTAAACACTAATATTTGTGTTCAGCGATGTCTCCCGAGTAAAACAGTACCCCCCATGTACAGGTTTTATAGCATTTTTGAAAGTTACAAGGTCAAATATATGGGTCAAATATTTTTACATTGAAAATGGCCAGGTTGGTTACGCTGCCTTTGAGAGCGTATGGTAGCCCAGGAATGAGAATTACCCCATGATGGCATACCATTTGCAAAAGAAGACAACCCAAGGTATTGCAAATGGGGTATGTCCAGTCTTTTTTAGTAACCACTTGGTCACAAACACTGGCCAAAATTAGCGTTCAATTTAGTTTTTTTACTTTTCTCACACACAAACAAATATGAATGCTTACTTTGGCCAGTGTTTTCGACTAAGTGGCTACTAAAAAAGACTGGACATACCCCATATTGAATACCCTGGGTTGTCTACTTTAAAAAAAAATATGTACATGTGGGGTGTTATTCAGAAATTTATGACAGATAATAGTGTTACAATGTCACTATTGATAAATTTTAAAAATGTATGTTTTGAAACCGCAATATCCTACTTGTACCTATAGCCCTATAACATGCAAAAAAAAGCAAAAAAGCTCGTAAACACTAGGTATTTTTAAACTCAGGACAAAATTTTGAATCTATTTAGCAGTTTTTTTTCATTTGCTTTTGTAGATGAGTAAAAGATTTTTCAAGTAAAAGTCAAAAAACATGTATTTTTTTCAATTTTTCATCAGATTTTTGTATTTTTTTTAAATTACAATACATGATATTATATAAATAATGGTATGTAAAGAAAGCCCCTTTTGTCCTGAAAAAAACAATATATAATTTGTATGGGAACAGTAAATGAGAAAGCGGAAAATTACAGCCAAACACAAACACCACAAAAGTGTAAAAATATTCCTGGTCGCAAATGTACAACATCGCAAAAACAGTCCAGTCCTTAAGTGGTTAAGATTATATGAGTGAGATAAATTGAGGCTGTTTTCAACAGAACTTCATGCACATATTACACCACTCATATATCCTGAGGTTGTGACTAATAACCCACACAAAAAAAACCTGCATTAGATTGGACTCATAGAGGATGTGTCTTATATCATTCACATATATTGTGTTTCCACTAATACATCAAGCATATAGTGAACAGATCCACTGAAGCAATGTCCACACCAACTTACATATAGAGCATGTTGAGAGATATACTAAGGTTATGTTTTTAGAGCAAATAAAGAACACAAACTGAGCCGAGACTACCGATCATCTCATACGTAGCCAATATAGTGGATACATATACTGAGGCTGTGTCCCCATAGTAACTCATACACAGAGCCTATAGTGTGTACATATACTGAGGCTGTGTCCTCATAGTAACTCATACACAGAGCCTATAGTGTGTACATATACTGAGGTTGTGTCCTCATAGTAACTCATACACAGAGCATAAAGCGCATACATAAACTGAAGCTGTGTCTCCATAGTAACTCATACATATGGCCTATAATGGACACATATACTGAGGCCATGACCTCATAGTAATTCATACACAGAGCATATAGTGCATACATAAACGGAGGCTGTGTCTCCATAGCAACTCATACATTTATCATATAGTGGATACCTATACTGAGGCTGTGTCCTCACAGTAACTCACATATAGAGCATATAGTGCATACATAAACTGAGGCAGCGTCCTCATTGTAACTCATACATAGAGCCTATAATGGATACATATACTGAGGCTTTCTCCATAGAAACTCACACATAGAGCATATAGTGGACACATATACTGAGGCTGTGTCTCAATAGAAACTCATATATATATATCTCATATATAGGATACTTTTACTGAGGTGGTGTACTCACAGTAACTCTTATACAGACCACATAGCGGATACATATACCGAGGCCGTATCCTCCTAGTAACTCCTACATAGAGCATATAGTGGATACATATACTGAGGCCGTGTCCTTATAGTAACTCATACCT